GTCTGGCTGAACGCACACACATACCCTTATTTGCACGATTCTTCTGAGAATAGCCATAGGACCTTGGTATACCTTGGTGAGGAGCTCTATCGCTGCCCGACTCCAATCTCAAGACCAAGCTACACCATCTTGGCTCGATCAACAAGCTACTCTACTCGTTGGTTTGCGCAGGTTGCGCGGTGGTTGCGCGGTGGTCATGCACACTGCGCCTTCATGGTCCAGTTCAGGTCCCGCGGGCAGCTTCCATAGCCTAACTGGCTGTAGATCACAGCACCCAGGGGTGACTTGAAAGCGTGACGTTTGACCCAGGTATGCCAGGTATGCAAAACATGAATATGTTTTGAAGAGAGTTGTGACTGCAGTGACTGAGATCAGCTGAGCAGCACCCAACAGGATTCTTCTGAAAGAGTGGACATCAAGAGAAATCTGAACGTGGGCAACAAATATTGACGCTTGCTATATATATATATATATATTTATAGTTATATAAGTCCTGACATATCTGAGCTCCATCGAACATAGGAAAAATACCGTCACGGCAGTCACGGGTGTGTGAGAACTTGGGAGACACTCTGTAATCCCTGATCGTCTGGATTTCTTGGGCGGATATTCAGTGACTATGACTCTGACGAAGCCTACACAACAAAACAACATGACAAACCAAGCATTGCTCGCCCCCACTTTTAGTCACCAATAAAACCTGCCTGAAGAGCTGAAAGAGGAAGAAGCGCCACAAGAACGCCCCCCTTCACGGACGAATAGGTGCTACCTGAGTTCGGCTGAGAAAACCCTGCATCACTGCCCCAGACATCAGGTCTCTTCCGTCAGTCGGTCATCGGACACATCGACGCCATACCGCTAATTACTTGCCTTGACATGCAACCCAACCAGGTACGAAAGACCTGGGAGAAACGGACATCCCGTCAAAGCCAAACACACAGCCGATAAGGCCCGCAATGGGTGTCAAGGGTGCGTGGGTGAGAGAGAAGGGAAAAACTTGGGTCCCACGCTTGAGCCAAAATGGCACAAGTGTGTATATAGGACTTTAACACCTATACCTAGATCTTCAGTCCGGCACTTTTACAGGGTCCGGCGCCGGACTTCCAACTCCGGCGTTTTTCTGGATTTGGTCCGGCGGTTTTTCCAAGTCACTTGAAATGTGGATTCTCAAGGTTTTGCATTCTTTGTGGCTTGCATTTCTTTGAAGGTAATGATTTGCTTGCAAAGTGTGCTCGTTTGCCTGTTCCGCTGTTTTCTCATTCCACCGGTTTCAGCATGGTTCACACTGGATCAATCAGATCCGTTTAGGTGATCTTCTAAGTGAAATCGGATGAAATTGGTACAGTGCGATGCACTATTGAAAGACCCAAGTGGGTGTACCTAAGCTGAAAGAACATAGGCAAAGATGTACTCCCATTGTTTCAGGATGTCGGGGCGCTGGGATATAATTAGTTCTAGTTGCGCAGGTTTGCAGAGCCTGCCGGACAAGTTTTGGGCTGTGGAACATGTGTTGTTCAGAATCTCAATGTTTTGCAGAGAGTTGCTAAGAAAAATTGCACGTCGTAACTCCGGCGTTTTTTCCCGTAACTCCGGCGTAATTTCCCGTAACTCCGGCGTAATTTCCCGTAACTCCGGCGTATTTTTTTGGACTCAGTCTTTTGAATTTTGAAAAGTTTTTCAACTAAGAGTTTCGACAGGAACCATGAGTGCTGCTACTTTATTGGCGGGGCCGTCCTGAGGCAAGCAATAAAAAACAATTTAAAACCATATAAGAATCATGGAGAGCCACTTTGTAAAAAACAATTAGAGACACGGGTGCAGAGAAATAGGGGTTCCTTACCACACACTCCTTGGTTTCTTCTTGGAAGTCTTTGCTTGGGCACAAGTTTGCTTGTATTTTGTGATGGTTCTGCTCTTAGGCCATTCGGAAGATGGGCGAGCGCAATGGGAACGGGAAGGCTCCAGTGCTGGGTTGTGGAATGAGTGTGTTCCAGAAAAAACTACTTGTGGCGCAAAGGCAGTTTGCTTGTGTATGATCCAGCCTTTTATCATCTCTGTTTTTCAGAATCTTGGATCCGGATGTTTTTTCAGGTCTCCGGCGTTTTTTTCGGAATCCGGCGGAAAATTTTGCCGGATTGAGATCCGGCACTTTTTTCCGCCCAAAGGAGGATCCAGGTATATGTTGCACATCCCAAGGTGTCCCTTCCCAACCATCTGTTCACCTTGGAAGATAAACACAGGCACAATTTTCAGGGTACTTTGAGGCTCCAGGTACTGACCATCACGACAATTCACTAGAATCAAAGGTCCTGTCTGCTGGTCCTGTCCACCCAACATCTTCTCCGGTCCGTGGGCATGTGGAGCACTTGGATTTGTCTCTGTTAGGTGCAGTGATGAACCTGCCAGCAAAAAATCTGATGAACCTTGAGGGTATCTGAAGTTGAGGAAAATGACACATCCAACCGCTCCCTCCATATCCCAGGGGATTTTCATATCCCAGATCCCTCCATATCCAGGGTCGCGTCTGGGCAACACCATCAATTAGTCATCCTTCTTGTTCCCTCCGACAAGACATTGAGACGCGGGCTTCCAGCACACCTTGCATGGAATACCTGTCGTTTTACAGAGTTTTCTACTTTCTGTGTCAAAAGTGGGCCCACAAGTGAACGACCTTATTCTGCACATCGTGAGCGGTGTTCTCTCTCTCAAACACAGGGATCATGGACAGTTCTGGCTGCGCATTAGAATAGGGAGACGTGCCAAACAATGTGGGTCTTGGTCTATTTGCCTTGAGGGGTGTTGTATCCCGTATTCCCATATTTTGGACTCAAGGTTTTGCCGGTTCGGATTCGCCCCTTCATCTCAGATGAAATTTGAATCCATGGCACAGTCAGTGACCCAGCCAAAGCATCAATGGCGCACGGGTGAATCGACCCCCCCCTCTGAGAACGACTGTGCGCCAGAACAGTACCAGCAGCGCTGGAAGGAAATGGGTGGTGACATCCCCAAACACCAATCCTACCTTCTCGGAATCTACGACTGGACCCTCCTGCCACCTACATGACAATATGTGGATCCATAGGGTATTTGCCATCCAATCACCCGTTTCGTGGGGTACTGTATGATGCTGGTCCAACTCTGTCTGCCAAGAATCTGAGAAAGCTGGACACTGGACCTGCGAACTTAGCGGTGGAAACTCCCCTCTTATCAGTGCAGCCAGTGCTCACACCCAGCAGAATTGACCTCTATGTTCATAGGAAAAAGGACAATCTTTGGGCTGGTTGGTGGTCCGACGTCATTCCAGAAGCTGAACTTGGGTGGGCCGAGCATCCACTCACTGGATGGGACTCAAAAACAGATGTAAAAGGTGTAAATACTGGAACACAAGTTCGTTGAAGACCAGTTTTTGTGAGAGCGCTGCAGAAACGGATTTGGAATTCCGTCGCGGGGAACTGGGGAGGATTTTGATCCTTGCGGCGCTGAAGTGTGGAATGTAGTTGACATGTTTGACTTGCAAGGTTGGCCAATGGTCGATGCAGCTGACGTCTCAAATGTCCTGTGGGATGTGATTCCCACAGCCGCCTCTGAGACATAACATGTGTGTAAATTGCAATAGTGTTATAATTATAGTATTAAAAAATATATATATATATATTATATTACAAAAATCCAAAACACTCCTTGTATGGAACATTTACCTGCATTGACCCCCTTTTCAATCACCCAAAAGTCGGTAAACACCTAAACAGAAGTCTTTGGAGCCCTTTGGATATCTATCTTTACGGCTCCAACCACATCATTTCGAAGGTAGTTACACCCCCTAACCACCCTTCGGATATATCACCATGTTGGTGCTTGAACCATGTTTGCATGTCTTAGGCTCCACACTATCCGGGAGCAAGCGGAATGTCGCCTGAGAAAAGTGCCAAGGGCACGATGGCAAGAGCCAGCAGCTGAAAAGAGATGGCCATGGCTGACGGATCCCAAGTGAGGTGAGAGACTTGTTGGATTTAGTTTTTCTGTTCTCTTTGCTTTGTTTGGGTGTGTAATGGTGTGTGTGTGTGAGAGTTGCTTGGGTTGCATGTTTCTATAATATGGATGTGAGTTGTGGGCAAACAGCCGGAGCGCCGAAGAACACATCCTGGATCAAGAAATTGTGGTGTCTGTGAGCGCAACAGAATCAATCTTGGGAAGAATCCAGGTCTGTCTTGGAGGTGTCAGAGTGTATTATACAAACGGATTCACCTTTCGAGGTTTCTTCCTGGTGTCTCTGAATCATTTGTTTCTTGATGGATTGAGCATCGCTCCTCAGCTCAGCTGCAAGAGACAAAGTATGCATCCTGTACTACTGAGTCACTTGAGCAGAAAACTGACAAAGTAGTACCGGAGACTTCTTCGAAGGAGAAAGGGTCTCAACCTTAGCAGCTTAGCAGCTTCAACCATACCGACCATGTTGAAGAGTCACCATGAAAGGTGCATGGGCGTGTGTGCCAGCACGCTGGTGACGAGACAGCTAAGGTCCCAACATGACGCAACTACGAGCCTTTTGACGATGGGACGATGGACAAACGTTCGCCTGCTGAGAAGTCCAATCAGCAACACTGAAATAGGGGGTAGGTAGGGGGGACTCAAGAGATCATGTGACCCTTCACTTGGTGCCTATTTTTTCTGACCCGCCTGCTGACTCATCAACCGCTAGTTCCAAGAAGAAGGCTGTGATTTGGACGAAAAACATCGTTCATTACCTTTCCCGTTTGGGCTCATGGCCTACCTATATACGTTTCGGTGAAGGTGCTTGGTGTGTGTGCACCGGGTGTGGATCTGTCTCTACCTTCTTTTCGGACGTGGGACAGGAACCCTATACACAAAAACATGTCACTGAACTAGTTGTCCTCGTCTGTCTGCTTCACCCCCCGCTGGTTCCGCACCGGTTCCGTGAACGCTGTCCCGGGCGGTCCGCGCCGCCGGAGCAACGAGCGCGTCTCCGCGCTTCTCCGCTCCTCGCGCCGTTGCCGGCTCACCCCAGGCAAGGCTTGAGGCCGTTGGCCAGCATTGCCTCAGTCCACAACAACCGGTCGACCGGTTCGAAGCGGTTTTGGTGCGGCATGAATGGTTTTCGAAGCGGTTTGGTCTCCGGTTTTTGATGAATAGAAAGGAACTATATTCTAACTAACTGGTTCCAAATATCATTTGATTGGAGGGACCACTTTTTAAAAGGAAGGACCTGACGGGATTTCCGCTGCTGGCACACATGGGTGAGTGTAGAGCAGCCTCGGCGTTGGAGTATTATTATTCCTTAACCCAGCCACGGGGATGTTTGCATCACTCAAGATTTGGAGCTGGGCCTTTTATCCACTGTCACATTCTACTATATACTGACTGGACCATACTAATAATACAACGATAACTGATGCTGTCAACATATACGTGATAATTCTAACAATACCCGTAAAAATGCTACGTAGAGAAAAAAACATATAAAACACATTCACAAAAAAATATAAACTGAGAAGCCAGAATGATATGCCCAACAGTTTCAAAAGATTTCCAAGGGATCGTTTTGATTCCCAGTGACTTCGTGGATGTGACGCACGGCCACCCGTACCCACCGCCAAACCGACCCACCGGGTGTGACTCGAAGACCGGGCTTGGCTGGTAAAAGGAGCATGTTACGCTCTGGAAAAGACATACATGGAACTAACCTGAAAACAGTAGTTTGCAAAGCAACATCGTCTGCCTCTGGGGTCTATCTTCAGGTTCCATGTGTGTCTCTTGCCGGGTGTACTCCAAGCAGGTACGCCTCTTCGGCATGACTTGAAAGTGTCTCTTCCACTACTTCGAGGGGTTGAAAAACCACCAGCGGAACCCGTCTGCCCGGTTAACCCCAACATCCGGCGCAGCGATCCCTTCGTCTTTTTGCGAAGCAATTCCGCTTGCCTCGCCGTTCGTTGTCTCACGGCGATCACCACAGACAACGCGTCGGCCCGGGCAAGGCCGGAACTCGGGCGGTTGGGGTGGTTGAACTGGAACCACTGACGTACCAAGGACATGGTGGTTGGCTTGGCTTCTCTACAAGGAACTGGAAAATGAAACTATATAGTGCTATAGTGGTTTACTGGAACCATTGCGTTTCTTTTAGGTCCATGGTTCGAGTGACTGTTCGGCGAATGACTAGTGGGAACTGCGACTCCCAAAGACTGAGGTGACCCATAGTTCATCTTGAAATCGATGGATGGACTGAGCCATAGGGCAGCTGCAAATGTTCAAAACATTTCCTACCTTAAGGCTTTAGCTAGCTCCGTTTTGGTGAAGGTGGTTGGGGTGGGTGCCGGTTGGGAGTCTGTGCCTACATTTTTCGGATGTGCTACATGCTTTCCCAGTGATTGCCGGAATGGCTCTGAGCGTTGGAAGACTCATCTGCTGCATCCTAGGCTCATTCTGGAGCTGAAATTTTGTCTTAACATTTGGGATCCCTCGGGCCCAAAAAGGCCCCGCTCGAAAACAACAGGCCAAAAAAATGGTTCAATTGGTGAACCATTAACCGCAAATCATTTTGAAGGCATAACTTTGGGGCTAATGAATTCACATCTATCTACCAAGGAACTTCCATCAGCTTCAAAACTACATGTTTTGGGGAAGCTACGAGGTTGGCGACCATTCTTCAGTGCCGACACCATGATGGCACCATCAGGCACCATGCCAAGACCGCCTGTGGACTACTTGTCCCTGTTTCAAAAAAAAACACTGTGATCTTTGATAATGTTGAGAGTCGAGAGGCTAGGCAGCAAGGATTGGAACCCAAACGTATCACTTTCCGTGGCCAAAGAAACACCAATGTCTTTTGAACCCAACAACCATGGCTGCTGCACTTCCGCCCTGAATCAATCCAAATAACAAAAACAAAAACGTTCTTTCCTCTTCGACCACCCTCCGTCCCCAACGAAAAACCAGCGATAAATCGATGGCACCCGCCTGGCCAGCTGCAGCATGATGTCTTTGGCCTCAGGGATCTTGGACAAAACGCCCAAGCCGCAGATCGATGTGTCACCTGAGCGATCGTAACGCTGTCGGAGCGACCGTTTCTCTGAATTGGGATCTTCTTTGGGGGGCGGCAACTGCCAATGGAAGATCTTGAACCTTTACTCTTTTGTATTTGTGTTCACTTTAAGTGCGCGGACCGTGCAGTAAAGCGCGCGCCGCCGTGCATTCATTCCTTAATTTCGTGCAAGCCACCGTAGTCGGGGCCATAGCTCTCTTTGCTATATGCCCCCACCACTAGCGATGGCAGCCATTCCGCCCAGCAGAGGGTCAGTTCGCTCTGTTCCGCATCCCCCTCACACCTGCTGTTGAAAAGCGCCGCCATGAGCCGCACATAGTGGGGCCGGATATTCTTTCAAAATAACTTTTCGCCATCGGCCGCCACTGGCCCTCCCTATGGAGCTGTTCATTGGAATATAGGAGTCACCCGTGTGACCTGCCATGTCCCACGCAACCCCAGAAAGAAGCAATCTAGTAGGTTTTGCACTGGCTGCAGAAAAGTGCCCTTGGTTGCAGGGCGCTGGTGTACTTCTTGCAGTGCCTGGTAGAGTCGGGCATCAGTGCTCCGTGCATGGCTATCCGCCCATTTCTGGAAGCTGCGCACAAGTACATCAAAGGGTATACTGCGCAAACAGGTTTCCTCCAAACAAACAAAAGGGTCTTGCGCAAACCCGCATCCTCAACATCTGTCGCACAGACTTGAAGAGATGCATTCAAAACCTTTTGCAGTTGACATTCATCTCAGTCAGGTATAAAGTCTCCTTCTTGGACTTCAATGGGTTCAGCACGTTGCCAGGGCATTTGTTCGTGAGGTGCATCAACACCGCAAACCAGTCCCGGAACACTGCCAAAAATATGATCGGCATTATTTTTGCGCTGCAATTCAGGCGGTGCTGAAGTTTGTTTGAGTCGCTGTAGAACTCCCTATGACAAATGACACATTGGCCTTTCTCCAAACATATATTTCTATAGTTGTGTTTCTGGTTTACGTGGAGCGAAATCCACGTTTGTTTGTTGGTAAAGGCTCGGGCGCACAAGGCACATACATGTACCACAGGCACTTCCTCCAATACAGTCTCCTGCATCAAGAAGAGCCTGCAGAAGATACTTGTGCCATTGCCGTACCCAAGCCGCAATCTTGCGCTACCTTTTGTATCTTCCACTTGGTTCTTCCACTTACCAGGGTCCTTGGTGGCGAGATTTCGCAACTCTTCCCAGTTTCTTTTGGTGGTAGATGTGAACCTCGCCCAACCCCTTTCCAGAACCATTCAAAGCCCGTTGGGCGCATGCAGGATCATGGATCCGCCTCGCCCTGCACGCTGGATTCTGTCTTCCGGCCAGTCCACAGGCTCGGGGCTGCCAGCAAAAGGGCAATGTCATGAGTCAGTAGTATATAGAATTTATCTGATACTATCTATCTATCTGTCTACACCGGCAAGCCGGAAAAAAACGTTCGGTGCGTGTGGACGCCGCGAGAAGCACCCACTCGACCGAGGACATGGTGCAAGTATAGTATATACATGTATATACTAGAGGGCAGGAGCCCTATGCGGATATGTAGGCAACCTCGCAGGCATCCCCACAGAAACTCAATCCAAATTCATGGACTTGAACTCATGTCACTTTCGGTTCTCTATGGATTTGGCGAGTTGCGGGTTGTCCTGGGAACTCGTATCCTACGTGCGGCTGCGGTCTGCTCTGTATGTGGGTCCCTGTCTCCACTCGAGTCCTCCAAAAGCCCATTGCCCAAATAGCTTCCAAAGCCCTTCATGATGCTAATGATGCACTGGGCGTCCACTACATCACTCGCATCACCAGAATTGAATGTTGATTGCGTTTCGGACTCTCACTTCTCAGGGCTCTCCCCCACCAAGCTCTGCATCCACCCTACCAAAAGCTCCTGCTCAGCCACCCCCACACCCCCCTTAACTCACTTCGTTCGCCCTAAAAGCTCAAGCCTAGCCTATCGGCTGGCTTTCGCGTTATATGATACATGTATATAAGTATATATAACAACCAATATAGAACATATTTATATACAGTTAACATCCTTAAATTAAAACATGTGCTTTTGTCCGGGGCACTTTTCGGGGGGGAATCACCTTCCCCTCCCTCGTTCGAGCTGAGGGACGTTCCACTGGTTCGAGGCGCCCAGCTTCCTGGTCGAGGGACCGGTGCTAGAGAGTCGGGTTCCGACCTCGGAGCATGGGGACCTCAGCTTGAAACTTATGTGCCCAGAATTGCTACAAGGGAACATCTACAGGAAACACCTAGCTTTTCGGGGGGGTGAACAATCATGGTGTCCTGTGAATGTTCCCTTAAACCAATCCATTGGATGCTTGGCGGGTGCATCTTGACCAGCGGTGGTTGTTAGCTCCGCTGCTTTGCCAAAAAGTCTATGATCCCTCACAGAGACTCCTTGGTCCAAAACACCATGCTTCCAGACTGATGTCAGTGCTGACGCAGGGGGCAAACCAATGGGCTTATCTCCCCACGCATCTCTCGCTGCCAGTGGCTGCATGTTTACTACTGTTCAGCACGAAACCCAAAGAAAGTCTCAGTACGAACCCATCCATTGGGTCCGTCTCTGCAGTGAACTCCACAATTTCCCCCAGTTCGTTGCTTGGAAAAAGAACAGGGTGTTTCTGAAACTGCACCCCTCAGGCCAAGCGGGTGGGTGCCTCCAGTCTTCCGGAGGACTGAACGTTTCAAAAAGACCCTATATACATAGTAGGTGACCAGTGACCAAGTCAGCGTGAAACATATAACATCGATGCTACGCTAGTCTTGGAGTCGGCTTGTGGGTCATCTCTTCCGGTGGAAACCGGTGGACTGGTCGGTCTTCTTTCGCTCACCAGCGGACGTCTTCGGTACGGGTACCCTCTCCCCTCTCCTGTAGCAGTGCCAGTACTTTCGGCCAATGGCCGCCAGCCGCTTGAGCTTGGATCATGATACCTCGATGGAGGAGGGGAGGATCGGGGTGCCCGGCGGTATAGGCCCGGCCCGAGACGATGGAGTACCTCGAAGGCACCTTCTATCCGGAGATGGTTGGAGCCCAACATCCACCTTCTGCAGGTCTTTGGAGACTCGATGTGGGTCTGGGATGCTCCAAGTATGACAAGGTATGTGGGATTATGTGGGTGTGTATTAAAACAGGGAGGAAAGACCCCAGTTCGATCCCCGTTTCAGAAAGGACATAGATCCCCCCCTATAACAATGCACATCCATGTGCATCCCAAGGGGTGGAAACTCGCTTTGGTCGCTTTTTCCGGCGACACCATGTTCCTCCAAAGCCTCTGAACCAAAGTCCTGCAGCTTCTCTAAATGGCACTGTTCATGAACCCTCGACCCCCCCAAGATACCTGGAACATCCTGGAACTTCACAGTGCCTTTAAGAATGGGTACAGCCGGACATCGTCGGACCAGCATGTTTGCTTCGCAGGCATGTCCCGCTTCGGGTACGATGCGTTCGTCAGGTCCAGATACCATCGACCCGAGCAGTTCCGTCAGGTCGTCACAACTGTAGCGTGTGGGTGATCCCAGGCAGCCAATATACCGGTGTCGTTTCGGTGTAGTTTTGGAACCACTGGTTACCTTTTTTTACCACTCGATCCGCTAGTTCTGATGTGAGACGCGCATGTAAAGGCCAGCCTCTTTGCTGACAACAATAGTCACTATACAAACATTCAAAAGCTCAAAGGAAGACCCCGGGCTGCTTGACTGCGGATCGAAGCCCAGCTTAACAAACCCAAAAAGCAACATGATTTCTTGTTTGGTTCGTGTATACGTGACCGAACTTGATCCGCAGGTCACACGGTATACGGTCACGGTGGTAATTTTATCTAAAAACTCACCATCCGAAACGGACCTGGACTCCCAAGGTTCGGTCACGAGGACTGGTACAAGTACAAGTGACCGAACCCTGGCACCATGTACCATTGGATGTATACCATACGAATGGTACAAGTAACGTACAAGTAGTGATTCATACATCCAACATGGTGCATGCAGCTTTTTGGGGAAAACAGCCACCTGGACCCTGCAAGTACACCAAGTACACTTGAGCGACCTGCAAGTACACGTGTCGTTCGGGTACAAAGGACGAACGACGTTCAGGTTCTCTATCACCCAGTTCTCTGGAAAACCCCGGAGAAGGGAATTTGCTCTAAAGAAAGATGGCAGAACAAAGGTTCTACACAATGACAAGTATCCTTGTTTGTAGCTGGAAAAGCCCAGTAGCTGGAAAATCTGGTTACAGTCACTGATTCATCGTCCCTGTACTTCAGGTAGCTCACAGGACACACATGCTTGAAGATTGACCGGTTTCTGCGCGCCCAAGCCGGAGTTTGGTTGTGTTTTGTTGGTAGTTGGGAGGGGGTCATTAAAAAAGTTGTGAAGCAACATTTACTGTCGTAAAAACAGTTCCCCAAACATCTTCAGACCTTGCGATTTCTACCTAGCCTCACCCATCCAAACCCAACAGTTCCAGGTGTTTGTTTCAACTTTGCTTCCAGGGTTGGGGCCCACAACGAGCAAACCTCAAAGATCTAAAAGACGATTGGAACCGTGGTTTGGATCGGAAAAAGTGGTCAATTTTGGGAGGTTGGAGGTCCACTCAAGTTCTATAGGTATCCATTATAGCCACCCACCTCCCGTCTCGGCCCATCCGTCCATCTCCCCCCGGGGCGCACGGTAGGTGTCCTGCGCCAACGGGACAGAGCTCCGGTGCATCTCCGCCTGCGACGTGGAGTGTGAATCCAGCGTGGACGGCGTGGACGGCGCTGGCAACTAAGTGAGGTTTGGTGCCGGACCCTAGCAGATCTTGGCTCAAACCTGGGAGTTGGAGGAAACCTCCATGGTCTATCTATTTCTGACCACCCTCATGATCTTAAAGCCTACGGTCGAAAAGAATCGCACAGTGGCCGCAGGATATACCCCTTCTGAAGGCCACATATGTGCAGTTGTTACAGAAAACCCAAAGACCCTCCAAAGTACTGAAGAAAATGGGACATATCATATATCGTGACCCTGTTTAAACAAACAGACATGAATAAAAATGGTACTTGTATCCCATTTCCAAGGTTCCAGGTACGTTCCTTGCACATACGCGCAAAAGACCTTGTAAAGTGAACATTGACTTCAAACAGTGGCTCCGGAAGCCGCTGAATGACTTGCAGTCCAGAATAGACCCGTTTGACATGGACAAAGATCCAGTTGCTTGCGATTCTCTGAAAGTTGAGACATCAACAAAACCCCTGTTAGGTCTAATGAACTGAAGCTGCAGTTCGCACACCGGAGCAGCCAAATCTCGCTGGAGCAGTGCTTTTTTGGTTGCAGCTCTGCGAGGGCTTGCTCACCTGCGAGGCTGATGGAAGGTTGATTGGTTACGGAATTGATCCGTGAAAGGCTAGAAGACCATTTTCCTCTAGAACCCAGTGGTTTTGAGGGTCCATATGGGTCCATGTTAATCCGCAGGGGAGTACTTCCTAGACTGAGAATTCTGAATTGCCCACTCATCCACCCGCAGGTCAAGGTTACCTTGCCTCTAGAAGAGCTGTAGTGGGAACTTCAACGCAATGCATCAAAGAACCAATGGTCCTTGGGGCTGCCCAACCATCTGAGGTTGCTTTTGGAGGTACTCTCTGCGACCTTGAAGGCGGTTTAAAGCGATAATCATCCAATAACCCTCAAAAGATCCATGCCTGTTTGGTCCAGTGGATGTCACCAAACCAACCAAACATGACATCATAACCCTCTTCGGTCGCACGCTTGGACTCCTCTCAACTACCCGAGGAAATGGGGCGTGGCCCTAATTCAAGCATGTGCTTGAACTCATGTTTAGCAGTACTTTGCGGGTCCAGGTACTTCTCCTATCTTCTCCCCGTATCTGAACCAAAGCAGCTGCCAAGAGACTCAACTGGACCAAGGCCTCCTTCGTCCCGAGGCAGTTTTTTCTGCCCTTCATGGCCTCAAGAAGCATGTTCATCAATGTTGGTGAGCTGGAAAGGAAGCTAGTCCAAGTGATCCCAAAATATACAGTAACTGACCAGGAGTTAGAATATAAAATCAATTAAAGACATGAATTAGGATCTAATTAACTGAGGCAGACCTGGTAAAAATAGGAATACAATGCAATTAGAATATGGTGGAGCAGCCATTGAATCAACACCATTGATCTTTATCACTTCCATTTGTAACTTTACTACAGTAAGCAAAGCATGCATTATCTTTGGCATCCATTGTCTGTTGGCATTTGTTTATATTACATGTTGGCATTGTCTGTTGGCATTTGTCTGTTGGCATCCATTGTCTGTTGTCATCCATGGAAGCTCGAAATTACATTTGTTTTTATATTCTAACTATATATAATTATGTTGAATTCTAACAGCCAGTCACGGATAGTATACAAACCAAGAGATGCCCCAAGGGCCAAGTCTGGGACAAAAATGCAAATGAACATAATATAATCATAGTGAACCATTATAGATACAAACCAGCTTCTTCAAAGTGACCTCTTTGGAATGACTCAGTGACGTCAAACTGGGATATCGAAAGGTCACTTTGAAGAAGCAGGAACTTATTTTCAAACAATATAGTGTCCTGGTATGTCCTGGTGAGCCTTGAAATCAATAGATTAAACATGATCCTGGTTCTTCAAAGTGACCTTTTGATAACCTGGTTTGAGGTCACTTAAGCCTCCTAAGGGTCACTTAGGAACCTTCAAAAGGTCACTTTGCAGAAGCTGGATTAAACACATCCTATTTAAAGCAACTCCCCTTTGAAACCTTTCTTGGTGCATGCGCATGCATGCTTGCACTAGCCAAACTGTCCATGTTTGGGGACACCGCATCTCGTCCAACACGCGTTTGACCACGCATGGACCGCAGCTGCCCGCCGAGACTTTATGGTCCTTTCGATTGATCGATGGAGCGCAGCTGAGAGGCTCTGAACGAGCGCTTGGTACATGAGAATCTCGGGCTGCAAACGCCTCCAGGAAAGCTGAGAGGGGATCCAGTGAAGCACTGAAGGCACCCAGGAAGGCTGGGGTCAGACCACCATGCAGGCAGGCGCATCATGCCCACGTGCTTTTGCAACGTGTGAAGCAAATGGTTTCTGCACCCTATGTTTGGTGGTTCTGGACAGCTTACCCCAGGGATACACACACCCTCCGAGAAGGTAATTGGCGACACTGATCTGTAGGGTTGGAGGGTCCAATTACCTTCTGAGAAGGTATGTGGATCCCTAGGGGTATCATACCTTCTGGCCTTCTGAACTCCACAGCCGATCCTCCAAAGGCCAGTAGGTTTCCCGGTTTCCCTCACCGAAAAGCCGATGAGAACCGTCCATCTGCGATCCCGACATATCCAAAGAACCTACGTAGAAGTCGTCCGTCTTGAAGACTACAGCAGCCAACCAATCACCAAAGTTGAAGAACTCCTAGGGATCCACATACCTTCTCAGGAGGTACTTGGGCCCTCCAAGCCTACATACAGATCAGTGTCTCCAATCACCGTACCTGAGCAGGTACGACTGGATCCCTAGGGAACACAACCACCAACTCTAGTCACTAACCCGTCACAGCACGTGTCTTTCACCGGCACCCTCCTTAATAGGTGCTTCCTGTGTTTCCAAGTTCGGTGCCCAGGTTCACCACCTGTTGAGGTCTCCAAACAGCCTGGCCAGGAGGGTCCTGGTAGAAGTCGTCCCTCTTTGTGTCTTTCGTCAACTTCAGACGTCTTGGACTCCCGGGCTGCCCACGCCCACGCTGCCGACGCCTTGCCCGGAGCTCCCTCAACAGTTCCATCACCTGTCGAGCAGCTGCCAGCTGCGCTGCAGCCGAAGAAAAATCACACAGACTCCTTCAGTTTACCGGAAAATAGAGGCTTAGCTTTTTCGACCTGTTCTTGTAAACCACTCCCCCCAAAAAGGCTCAAGGTGATCCACTTTTCCTGGGTAGTAACAGGTCAATCAAGTGGTCAATCGGTGTTCAACGCAGGACCCCTATGGGTTCATCAGGATTCATCAGGCCAATTTGGGCGATAAAAACGTCTTCATGTCATGCGAAACTTGAAAGCAGTTGATTGGCATTTCTCGGTGCCACCAGCTGGCCTTGGTGGCCTTTGGTAGTTTCAACCGCTTAAACGGGGGTTTACAACAAATGGTTGCCAGTCTGGGGCCCGTGACTACACCACCTGAAACGCATGAATATCCCATTGCTTCAACGAGGAGAGTCCCTTCCAAAATCAATAGTAGAGACAATCCAATCTGGGCCTGTGAGGTTTCGGATGGTGTTCCACCTCTCAATTCAGTCGCCCATGGCCCATGACCTACGCTGGGCACAACTCCAATAAGTCCACGTCAAGGTGCCACTCTCCAATTCATGGACTTTGCTGATGCAACTGCTGCTGAAGTGAAGGCAATGTTGTCTGCAAGCGCGCCAGCCTGCTTGCCAACGTGTCACACTCGTTGCTCGTGCTGAAGGGTGTGAAGTTAGCGTGAAGCTGGAATTCCAGAAGTTGACCATCAACATGTGAGGACCAATCCTCAAAACAGTGCTATGCCGCTATACAGTGTCTGTCCAGTTGCTGGTTCACAGGTTGCAAAGCACTGGTAGCAGCTCTTTGGGTGTTGGAAACCACTGGCTATTTACTCAATCAGGTCGTACACACCCGCAAACGATACCATGAACCCTGAGAAGGAAAAGACGTGGTGCAAGACCGTTTTCCGAATACCAACCCAGTGGTTTTGGGGTCCATGTTAATCTGCTGGCTGCAGGAGGGTAGCTCAACTAGGGACTCCCCAAATGATATGACTCTGAGTGGTGCTCACACTGGGATTCCCATCTATGGTTTTGATGGTCAAAAACCAAAGACCCATTGTTTTACTCATAATCTTGGGACGAAACCAGCTCGATCCAAACTCTTTGAATGGTCAAAGTAAGCTGGCATAGATTCGACACATGGGCTGGCTGGGCCGCCCACCGTATCTGAGACTGTGTGTGTGGGGATGCTTTGCACCCGATGTTGCGCAAGCAGACTTTTGAACCCCTCCAAAGTTAGCACTGAACAGTCTCATCACGAGACGATCCATGAGACGATCCATGAGACATCACGAGACGATCCATGAGACGATCCATGAGACTGTGCAACCAAATGGGCAGAAACCTTTGCCGCTCAAAAACGCCAGCCACCAATGCAAACTGAATGCGTCCCCAGGAGAAAAAGAAAACACAACAACCAACACGACGGGTCACAAATTCACAGAGACCAACCAACTGGTTACCTGATTGCTGATTCCAGGTGAAGCCTCCGCGGTCGATTGAGACACTGAGACTGACTCGAGGGCTGCCTCTCGCAGGAGCAGGATGGCTGCTGGCCATGCGGAGGCCTTTTCACAAGCACTGATCAAGGCGTTGTAGGTGATCTCGTCCTCAGCCGGGAGACTTCTCCACTCTGAGAAGTCTGGGAGAATGACTCAGACATACAGAACGAGCCCAGTACATCGACCAACACTGCGGTGAGTGACTTCCATCCCTGCAACCTGCTTTCGGCCTTGTTGCAGGGAGGAACCTTTAGGTGCAAAACAAAAGCAAAAGAACCTAATGGCGATGGCCCAACCTAAGAACCCTGAAGTTCAGCATGTCAATCAGTAACTCCTAGAAGCTCCAAGACCCAGCTCATCAGTAAGTCCTGCAATGTCCAGCATCAACTGATTGAAGTAAATACCGGCAACCAACA